CAGATTCCTCTTATTCCCAGGCTTTCTGAAAGAACTCAGCCTTCTTTGTGCGGCTTGTGCTATTACTGGTGCTCCACCCAATGAGGCAATCTTCACAACTGCTGGATCTCTGTGAGTTCAAGGCCAGCCTGGTCTACAAAGCAAGTTGTCAGACAGCCAGAGCTGTTACACATAGAAACCCTGTCTTGAAAAACAGTAACAACAAACAAACAAAAAAGAAAGAAAGAAAAAGAAAAACAACTGTTAGAATCTGACTATGGCCTACTTCCTCACCATGCCCCAGCAACCCTGCATAAAGAACATCTTTGCTGACAGGACTGCCTTAGTTTTATCCAAATTTTAATCAATCTTTTCCTTACATGCAAGAAGTGTTTTCTTCCTTATTAAGAGGCCACATAGCATTTGAGGTTTCACCCATATTAAAGGTTTCTTTTCATGAGTATAACTGTGAAATGTATTTACAGTTGGGCTAGTTTCCTAAAATTTACTTCTTAAGAAGTGGCACTGGGTAACTGCTGTTGTGTTTATGACAGCTAATTTATGACTGAATAGAGAAAATTGGGCAGGTATAATGTTTTCCACACAAATGTTCTTCTTTTATTCTCGTAAGAAGTAACAGTGTATGTGAACATCATACGCAGTTACCTTGCCAAGGCTGAATTTACACTCTTATTTAATGCAGGCCATGCAGTGTCTAGAACACAACTGGACACTTTCAAAGGTTTTCTTGTATGTTTTGAAAATAAACTTTAAAATATAATACACATTTATTCAGAAAAATTTAATAGAATTATAAAATAGAATGAAGAGCCAGTGGCAACTGCTATTAAATTTTTCCCATAGTTCATCTCATGGCTTCTATGTCTAGCATGCAGAATTATAGATAACCATGTAATTATTACTATTTTTTCCTGTTTTTTCGAGACAGAGTTTCTCATTGTAACAGCTCTGTCTGTCCTGGAACTTGTTCTATAAACCAGGCTGGCCTCAAACGGACAGAGATCCACCTGCCTCTACCTTCTGAGTACTGGGATTAAAGGTGTAAGCTATTACCACCTGGCTACTTGGGACTGGAGAGATGGCTCAGAGGTTAAGAACACAGGCTGTTCTTCCAGAGATTCTGAGTTCAGTTTCCAGCAATGGCAGATCTGGTGTCCTCTGCTGGCATGCAGGCAGAACACTGTGTACATAGTAAGCATGTATTTGTATAGGTAAGGTTTTATACACATATGACCTAAATTATCACTACTAAATTATTTCATCTTTAGGATTCTTTTTAAAGTTTGTTATATTTAATGACTACATGATATTTTATTGTGTGGTTCTTCTATAGTTTGTTTAATTATTCTTTTTTTGGGGGGATATTTATACTGTTTTGAACTTTTTTCTAGTAAAATATCATTAAATAAAACTCTATTTTTAACTCTTGCCTTCATTTTAATATTCCTTATGATAGCCTCCATTACTGTGCCAAAGGGTGTGAACAGTATTAAATTTCATGATAGTGCTGAATTGCTTTCTAGAAAGCTTGTGCCCATAACTCTCTCTCAGGTAATAGAGGAAACTGCCTGCTTAGAGATATTTTGTTATTCATCCTTGTCAGCAGGATGCAAAACATACTTTCTTGATGTGATCTTTTTTGAGTGAAAATGGAAACAAGTAGAGAAAAATGTATGCATGTATTTTGAGGTAGTCAAATTTTACATTTTTTTTGCCGTATAGACTATATATTATATCTGTTGACTTTTGCCCAGTGGTGACCTTGTGTGGGCTATGGTTACTCACCATTGATCCTTTTCAGCAAGGGAAATCATTATTCTGGTAAGTTCATGAAGTGCTTAGATTTTCTAACAGGAATAGAGGAGGTGGAGAGAGGATTGTTGGACCCATTATAAAGTTCACATTAGGGCTAGAGAGAAGGCTCAACTCTAAAGGGCATGTACTGTTGTGGAGAACCCAAGTTCAATTCCTAGCACACACACAACTGCCTACAACTCCAACTTCAGGGGATCTGACACTGTATTCTGGCTGCCCTTGGTGCCTGCATTCATGCTCACATGCATGCGTGTCTATACATAATTAAAAAGTAAGTAAAGTCTAACTAATAAGTCCTTAATAAACTACAATATTTATCATTTTATTGGTTTAAACACTTCGCTAGATTTGTGGTGGTATAAAAAACTTTGTGTATCATTAATGTGGCCAATATTCTAAAACATCCTTTAAAATTAAGGTGTAATTCATGGCTGTAAGCTTGAAGCTTTAAGTTCTTCCTCCTCCTTTTTTTTTCTTTTTTTTTTTTTTTTTTGTGGCAATGTGTAGCCCAGGAATAACTATATAACGGTACCCTTTTCAACCAGTTCTGAACTTTGTATAACAGCATATGCCTGTGGAAGAAAGAAATGTTTTTTTATAGCTTGCCAAGAGTGCTGAGCTGGGTAACTAGCAGCCTAACAGTGTGGCTTTGTGCTAGGATATATAAGGCTGCATGTGAAAATTTGAAATTCTTATCTACTGCAGGGACGAGTTACTGAACAACGTAGATGGGAAGACAGATTACAGTTGAAACTCAGCCAAAAACACTCGAAGCAACCCTGACAAAATAATGCCATGTGCATAAATCAGAGTGTTCCTGGGAATCTCTGAAGCTTCTCTACCATCATAGGTCTAGGGGCAGGTTTCCAGGAAGTTATTCCCACTTGCAATTTTGACTCTGGCAACTGTACTGCTCAGGTATGTGTGAGGTAGGCTTTTGATAGACCATGGAGCTCTGTATTCTTGGTGAGACTGCATGAGTCTTGAAGAAAGTAACTGACTTGTGTATTTTAAATTATCTCAAAATGAAAGTTTGAAATTAAAAAAATTTGAGTTACTTAAGTTTAAGAACTTAAGTTAGTTCTTGATTTTCAACTTTGATCTCTAGTTACCCTTGTTAATCAGTCCCCGAGGGAGTTCACAGCTGCTTTTGTTGAAGTAAAGAATCATCAGTGTTAGAAGATCACTCACTATCTTTCGGCTAACAGGCACTGAATTTGGACATCTATTCCTGGGTATTTATCATTTTATCCGAGAAGTCAATGATCTATCCCACATGATTGCTGTGGCAGTTCTTAGTTTGAAAATTCTACAATCTTATTAAATTCTATGCATATTCTCTCTCTCTCTCTCTCTCTCTCTCTCTCTCTCTCTTTCTCTTTCTCCCTTTCCTGTCCTGGGGTCAGTCCTCTGTCTTCTGTCAACTTTGTGTCCTTTTTTCAGTAAATTCTCTTCTGGTAGTGTTTATTGTATGCACGTATTACAGTAGACACTGTCTTTTAGCAGGAATAATCTCTGATGGAAGGATGCAAAGGGTTTTAGATTAAATATCTTGACCAATAAGAGCAGAGAAGACTTAGCATTCACAAATATAATTTCTGTCCTCTCTTAGCTAGTCTGTGACTTAGTATTGAGTTTATTTTTTTATTTTTTAATCACTGAATGAAACTCTTTACTATCTAGAGTAGTAGTAATTTTATTCATAAAATCTGTATGCATGAGTATATGTTGGTGTGTATGTGTTGATGAGGTTGTGTGCATGTGTGCATTTGGGTACACGTGGAAGCCAGACATCAACATTGTATGTCTTTCTCAGACATATTTCATCTTGTTTTTGAGACTAGGCCTCTCACACTCTTCCCCCTTATTTTTCAAGACATGGTCTTTCAGTAAATTTGGAACTTATCAGTTCAGCTAGGTTGAGTGGCTCATGAACCCCTTTCCAATGAATGATGGTTTTACAGATGTTTGTTGATGTGCCCACCATTTTTATGTGGGAATTGGAGACCCAAGCTTTGTCTCTCATACATGCATGGCAGGTACTTTATCAATTGAGCTATCTCCCTAGATCCTATTCAAATGTTTTTCCAAAGGTATAGTTAATGACTTTTTATGATTATGCAAATTATTCCAGGAGGCAGAAGGTACTCTCTCTTTCTCCCTCTGTAAAAGGGAAACAGGACTTTGTAGTTAAGAGGGTAGAGAGCAGAAGTGTGGGTAGTTACTGTAATTTTCTCTTATTGCCCACCAGAGGTCTTAGTGTGAGCATATAGTCTCTTTAATGAATGAGTCCAGCTCTGTGGACTAGTAACTTTCAGGTGATCTAAGGATTCCCTTGGTGTTACAATCTGGTAAACAATAAAGTTGGTTGTTGCTCATGATGAAGGCTTTTTTTTTTTCCTACAGAGCAAAGAGTTTAAATGATAGGAGAAGGACACCTAGAGATGAGTAACCTAAAAGCACCTTCAGTATTCTTCTGGTTTAGTGCAGTAAACAGAGTCTTTCTCTTAGTGTGTTTTGTTTGTTTTGTTTAGTTAATTCATTAAAATTAATCCACTAAAATTTTGAGACAGGGTCTTACTGTGTAGACTTGTCTTGACTGGAACTTGCTATGGCTAGACCAGGATGGCCCTTAAACTTACAAAAATCCAACTGCCTTTGCCTCCTGACTGCAAGATTAAAGGTGTGCACCACCATACTAGAATCCTATATTTGTTTGGTATAAGAGCATAGCACAGACTGAGTAATTTATAATAAAAGGAAACTTGTTTCTCATAGCTCTGGAGTTTGGGGTCAGTGATCAAAGCCTTAAGCCACACCTTTCTGTTTCAATCACCTCATGGCAAAGAGAGAGAGAATAGTGTTTGAGCTTTTCCTTGTATGAGAAGCCTACTCCCACCCCAGTCAACTCACTCTTGTGTTCTAGAGGCAGAGCCCTCATGCTTCACACATTTTTATAATATTAGACAGCAGTGAAATTTCAACATGGTTCCTGGGAAGGACATTCAAATTACAGCAGCCTGTCAATAGATATTTTCAGTTGTCTTCCTGTGGTGTGGATGTGATAGGAGGGACACATATATGTCACTTAGAAGGTAACGAGCTTGTTTAGATAACATAAGACACATTTGTTGTTGTCTGCTGAATGAAACTTAACTTGTGCTTTTCCTATGTGCTCCTTCCAGAATTTCTGAGAAGCTTCTATAATGGTCTGTTCAACCTTCATCCGAGCTGCCCATGAACACATCTACCTAGTAAGGAAGATCAGTCATGTCTTCAAATGCCATCAGCGTCGAGCTTGGGGCTCAAGGCCAGCTGCATCCCAGTTTCCTGCCCAAGGTGCTCCAGGCTGTGTGATAGAGCTGCTGGGAAAATCCTACCCTCAGGATGACCACACCAACCTTACCCAGAAGGTCCTTTCTAAGGTAGGCAGGAACCTGCACAACCAGAAGTACCACCCTCTGTGGCTGCTCAAGGAGCGGGTAAAGGAGCATTTCTACCGGCAATACATGGGCCGCCCCAGGACCCCTCTGTTCTCCGTCTATGACCAGCTGCCTCCAGTGGTCACCACCTGGCAGAACTTTGATAGCCTGCTAATCCCAGCAGACCACCCCAGCAGGAAGAAGGGGGACAACTATTACCTGAACCGGGTGCACATGCTGAGAGCACACACGTCAGCACACCAGTGGGACTTGCTGCATGCAGGACTTAATGCCTTCCTCGTGGTAGGTGATGTGTACCGGCGTGACCAGATTGACTCCCAGCACTACCCAGTTTTCCACCAGCTGGAGGGTGTCCGGCTCTTCTCCAAGCACGAGGTGAGTCTCTAGATGTGTTTGTGTTGATGTCACTGAAGGCTGGTGATCTGCGAAACTCGCAGATTTGTCCTTGATCTTCATTTCCATTATTGACTCATCCGTTCTTCGTGACGTCTTTTGTGTACACTGGCCTTCCAAGCCACAGTGTGTCTGCTGTGTGTCTCACGTCACTGCAGACTGTAAACTTCAAAACAAAGTTTTCTCTATCATTTGTCCCTTCCGGTCCCCTTCTCTCAGTACCGACCTTCTTTACACTGGTTTACAACTTATAAGCTGCTAGTGGTTCACATCCAGCCTAATCCAAGCTTAGCAAAGGCGCAACTCTGAACCTGTGCTCAGGCTGTCCGTTTGTATTGGTGGAACTTAGTGCTGGTCTCCTGCTGCTGGAGAGTGATGCTCTCCTGCGCTGAGGGGGGTCTATAGGTGCACTTGTTGCACCGTCAACTATGCTGTGTCCCTCAGCTCCTTCTCCTTGTCTGACATGGTAGTGGTGTGTGTCTTCATTGTTAGTGTAGATGTGTGTTTTTAGATGTAGAGTCCTCTTGGTCAGAAGTCTGATATTCAGGTCATCTGCAAAAGTTTTCAAATTCATACATCTGTTTGATGCTGTCCTAATGTACTGGATAATATATTTATTTTTCTCTGCAAAGTATGAAAACCCTACAAAGCTTGAACCTACTTACTCAACAATAATCATAATAAGCATGGTAGCTCAAGCTTGTAGTAATTCAGCACTTGGGATGCAGAGGCAATCGCTGGGTTGCAGGTTCAAGGCCACTCTGGGCTTCATAGTGAGACACTGTCTTAGGATAAACAAAGTAAAAGTAAAGAAAAATAATTAAAATTGTATCATTACCTTTCTTTCAAATATATTAAAAGACTGTCTCCATCTTTTATTGTAAGAAACAGACAAAACTGTAGTGAGTGCAGGTGTTTCTTGTATGTCTCTAACAACCCCTTCCACACATTTTTCACTGGAAAGGGGTATTAGTAGTATGGTCACAAAACTCCTTCTTGCAAACACAGCTTGATGGGCTCTTAATGTGAAAACAAATAGCATAGAATCCTTAGGCTAACAGATAAATATTTTATTATTCTAGTAAATACATTAGCAGGAAACAACGGAAAGGCACTACCCTTTCTCTATCTGCTTCAGAATAATGTTATCCTTTACAGCTGGGACACAGGTTAACCTTCCTCAAAACAGGCTTCAGTGCTGGGTCTGGGGAGCATAGAGGCCATTCCTAGTACTTGGGATGTGGTTATTTTAGAAAGGGTATGGAAACATTAGGGCACTGAAAGAAACTGGAAAGAGACAAGCCGGAGTCTGGAATACAACCAAGTGGTAGAATGCCACTTTCCATTCACCTGTGATGCCATGCTGTCCATGGCATGACATTGGACAAGTGTTCAGTCTGGCTTACTTTGCTAAAGAACACATTAATGTGTAAGCCTGCGTGTTATGGTAGAGATAGTTGAAGGCTGAGAGACCGACAGTGACATTCTAATGGGGGGAAGGGATTGAGTGATGAAAGGAAGTTAGCATTGAGAGGAATACATAGTTTCCTTTATAAACCTTTTTTTTTTTTTTGGTTTATATTTGTTGCAATCTAGTCCAGTTTTCCAGGCACCATGTGTAGCTACTCTAGTCTAATGTCCTGACTGCTTTCTCGTTTATTGTTTGGTGAATTATGCTCCTGTGTATATAACTGGCTTCTTTTCAGGTTGCAAGGTGCTTCAGTTTTCAATGCTTCATTTACTCCTCATAGTAAAAAACCTATGAGGCAGGTCATCTCACTTCCGCACAGAAAATCTGAGGTCTGGAAAGGTCTAATTGGGATTGCACAGTCAACCAGTGGCAGAACTGGAAGACAGGTCTCCTAAGTGCAGTGTTCTGCTGATTTCCGTGGTCCTGCTTGTCAGCGACACCTGTTTACGAATCAGCGCATGTTTGATACAGCAGTAGTGAGCCCTGGAGAGGGGTCGCTTCTGAATTCCTGTCTTCCCTTGAAGTTTTGATTCTCAATCTTCTCTACTCTTAACTCAAGAAACATGTTTTTTTAATTTTTATTTATCCATGAATAATATTTGAAATTTTTAAAAATATGTGTATATATGTACTTAAAAACAATACATTGTTTTATTTCTCTAATATTTAGTAAGCTTGCATTCATTATATGTACAAGTTATTAGAATTATAGAGTAAAATAAACAGTGATGCTGGATATGGTGCATGGGCCAACAATCCCAGCACTTGGGAGTCTGAGGCAGAAGGATTTCAAGTTTGAGACTAGTGTATGTTACATAGGGTTGCCCTGTCTCAAGAGGAAAAAAGTAGAGAGCGCAATATTGATAATAATAGAAATGAACGAACAATGATAGCTTATTAACTTAGCAATTATTGAAAAAAGCTTTTTCGTTCTTTGGAGAAAGATAAATAAAAGTAATGTCTGCATCAGTTTTGATGGAGTAATTAACATAAGTCTGCTAAAGCTCCGATCCAGAAAGAGGATAGAAAGAGTCACTGAGTAGACCACACTTTACAGAAGTATAGGTTTCAGTTTAATCTATGCCTTTAGCACCAATGGAGGGAGAAAAGAAAAATGCAGAAAAATGACTAATGTAGAAAAATATTTTAGTTCAACAGAAGTCAGGATGAGAAGAACGCAAGCCCAGATCATAAGTTTAGTATGAGTTCTAATGCATGAATCTCCCACAGCAACATTGGGTAAGCCTTGCAGGTGCAAAAATGCATGATCAGGGTGCATGTTCTGAGAACCAGAAAACTACAGAGTGTGGAGTGAAGAACGGGAAGGTTTGTTCAGCAAATGCTTCCCCAAAGATGCCAGATGCAGCTGTATTAGAAGAAAAATTTATAGAAAAAAAGATAAGCATGGATGAAGGCTAAAATAGGTAAGGAAGGTTGTGAGTTACACGCTTTCATCTGCCACATGAAGCAACTCCGATGACTTAAAGGTCGAGTTTGACAAATACTTGGTCATGGTCAAAGATGTTTAGTGATTTCAGTCACACACCTGTCATTATCTAGACAAAATGAATAAAGGTATAGAAGTCAGAAAACGTTATCAACAAGCTTGATGTACCTTTAGAATTCTGTGTGTTGTCTCTGTTTGCATGTTGCATACAAATCAATGAATTCAGTATTTGTTTGATAATGTCACAATCATTCCATATTGTTCTAAATAAAAATAAAGAAATAGAAGGCATATATGTATGCAGCTTTGGATATCCCCAAGTCTTTGCAAAAGTACCGAGCCCTAGAACAGCAGAACTAAAACTTCTACAAAACACAGACCAGGTTAGAGAATGAGTTTATAGAGGACTACAGCAGTGCCTGGTAAAGGAGAGCTTCCTAAAGAACCACTCAGAGAGCAGTAGTTGGATTACCAATTTTTCTAGTGGCACTTTGACATGACATTCTCATAAGAATGCAAAGATTGAACGTCAGTGATTACCACCATCATAAGAAGAGGATCCGTCAGGGGCTCAGGAGGGAGCAAAGGTTGTAAAGTACTTGTGCCAGCATGAGAACCTGAGGTCACTCCCCAGTATCAGTGACAGTAGCTTTTTACAAATGCTAAAAGTGGAAGCATGCACTCGAAATCTCAGTGCTGGTGAGGGAGAATAGGCCAGATCCCTGGGGCTCATTGGTTAGCCAGCCTAGCTTAATTCATAAGCCCTAGGCCAATGGGAGATGGTCTCAACAAACAAGGTGAATGGTACCTGAGAGATGCTGTTCTGGGTTATTCTCTGGCCTCCAAGAGCATGCACACCAGCATACACAGGTGCACCCCTCTCCACACACAAAGGAGAGGGTCTGTCAGAGGTGTGTCTGCTGATGGGGGCGGGGCATGGCTCTGACTATAAAGACATGACTTGCCAGGGCAGTTGGATTTGAACAGAGTCAAGCTCTGGATCCATCTACCACATTATAGAAACTAAGAAGAGAGGAACATATGAGGTTATGGCACAGAGAAGTAGTAATCCATGTGCTGACCATGGGGAGTAGCAGCAAGTCTGCCCAGGATGTGACCTAAAGAATGAAGTTGAAGGGAACCAAATGCAAGTTCTTGAAAATGTTTAAGCAGTGGGATGTGTTTAAGAACTGAAGTCATCATTTTCTACTGTGTTGTCAGTGGACTTGACTTCTTTTGTTGGGTGGAGTATAGAGGAATTCATGTGCTCTTAAATGCTTCCTGTGAGTTCTATGTGTGTATTTGTGTGCAGTAGGCCCATGTCTTTGTTCATAACCCATTGGAAAGCTGAGACTGTACCTTTGTTATAGTTTTGGAAATGGTACTCAATAGAATGAATGACTCAGTTCAAGAAAATGGCAAGAAAAACAAAATATTAGGAAGTGGAACTTAGGGATGAAGGCAGGATTGGCTCACCTGATCCTAATGTATAGATAGATCCTAGCAAGGGAAAACATTTTTAGGAAAAAAGGAAAACAATGTTTAATGTGGTTGGAAAAGTGAATACTAATGAAACACCTGAAAGTAAGTTCCTTTCTTTATTTAATTTTAAAATGTGATGAGAATATAAATGTTTTATTAAGTCTTTATTTTAGAAATGCATAGTGAAACACCAATATGGAAAAAGCAGAGTCTTGGGATTTTTTCATAATAATATTGGAAGTGACTTTGGCATTTTATGGTGTATGTAAGAGGATTGGTTGTGAATTGTTATTTACTTGGGTATTGTGTGCATCCAAAGTCATCTTTTTTGTGTGTTTACATGTGTTTGAGATTCATCTCCTATAAAATGAAAATACAGAAAACCTTGAGACCAGTCAGTTAAAATGACATTGGCTCAGCCTGTACTGTAAGGTGGCTCCTTCTTTCATGGGAAGGTTACCATCAATACTTTTTAAAAGGTAGGCCACATTAAAGAAAACAGTATAAATGACACACAATAGAAACCTGAAAGACATTCAGTCTGGAATTCATAGCTTCTCCATTTTCCATGTGATTTGAGAT